TTCAAATATGTAAAACAATATCACATTTCATTTAGGGGTATATACATTTTTAGTAAAAGTCTAAAGACATTCATGGGAATAATAAACTCCAAGTTCAGACCAGTGGGTCTCTAGAGAGCAGGGACAGGGGTGACACTAGATGACAGAAGAGTCATCAACTAAACAGGCACATTGTTATTTCTTCAGGTGGGGGGGGGACTTCACAACTGTTCATTGTATCCGTCTTTATGCTAGGGTGGACCATGTGAAGTTGCCTGCAATAAATCCTCACTTAATGTCATGGATAAGTTCTTGGAAACTGTAATTTTAAGCAAAATGACATATAACAAAAACAATTTCACCACAGGCTAACTGATAGAAACAAGAGTTAAGTTCCTAAAGCATATTTCTGGTCACAAAACATCACCAAATTTCTAAATAAAGAACCGAAACACATAATATTACACACTGAAATAAATGTGCAATATTTATGTATACATACATTTAATAAGAACAAGTAAGATAATTCTTTTCCAATGGGCTTATTCCAGTTCAGGGTGGCAGGTGGGACCCATTCTGGACAGGATGCCCTTCCGTCTCAGGGCACATCACACCCCCCCACTCATTCCGTCTCAGGGCACCTCACACACCCCCACTCACTCAGACTGGGACAATGTAGACATGGCAATTCACCTCATGTGCACATCTTTGGGGTGTGAGAGGGAACCGGAGTCCCTGGAGAAAACCCATGCAGACTTGGGGAGAAGAGCCAACTCCCCACAGACAGTAGCCCCAGCCTGGAATTGATTTTTTTTGTTTTTGTCATCAACATTATAAGCAAAACAACCTTGAATGAAATGACGTTATTTGAGGATGTGTTGTATATTTGACTGTTTTGACCTACAAAAAATAGCAAATTATATGGGTTAACTTAATAACATTTTGGTCTGGATGCTGAGAACATGGTAGGAAAGCAAGTGTAAACCTGGCACACCGCTTGGTTCTGCAGTGACCTATGTTTTATACGATCCTAATAATATAAAGTTGTTACTGATTTTCGACTTTTAGAATCAACTTATAGATAAAACACAAAAGACATGTTTACAGAAGAGACAATGAGTGTTCTCAGCTTTGACAGTGTAAAGATCAAAGTGGAGCAGACACAGAAGGGAAGGGGTTGGGGGAGGAGAATGGTGGTGGGAAGGATGGGGCAGTGCACCTGGCCTCCCACGATGGACACTCAGAGATACCTGCAAAAGCTAGCGGAAAGAGAGATTTGATTCTATAACTTGAAAGAGCAACGGAAACCCATAGAAGGAATCCAACAGTAACCCTCAAAGATTGGGAATGATTGAAAGGGCAGGGAGCAACAGTGCAAGTAAGCTAAATCCTTATCAATAGATAATGCCTTAAATTAGTAAGTCAAAATATCAAAGTATAGCATATTCATTAATGACATGGAGGAAACCACCAGAACAACTAAAACCAAGTAGACATATGGGAGTGTCCAGAAGGGGGACTGGACTGAGAAAAGGTGAGGGGGACTTTGCTTTTTATATTATGTGGGGTTTTAATTGATTCCATAAGTTAATACCACTTTGAAAGGGGAGTAAGAGGTACAGGGGGCGAATTCATTGTGCCTTAAACTCCCCCCCCCCGCCCTTTCTAACTTCTTTCCCTGTTGTTCTCTGGAAACTGCTGTCTTTTTTTTTTTTAGCTGAGCCATCCTGCCACCTGTTGGCAGCTCAGCGGCAACTCAGCTCGGGCTGGACTCGAACCGCTGTTGCTCAGAGCTCNCTCCAATATGTGAAGAGGTGTGCATAGGGGAAGGGAAGGCGGGAGTAAATGTGAGACACTCCAGGAAGGAGGTGCTGACAGGACCCATGGTTGATTGACTGAGCTGCGAGCCAGGCCTGCTGAGGGAGAGGGCATCCCACCTTCTGTGCTTTTCCTCTGTGCTAACACAGCAGTGCATCCTAGAATACAACTAAGAGACACATGTCAGCTCCTGATTTTCCCAGGGAGCCTCCTGTTGTTCATTCCTTAAAGCAACCTGTCCCCCAAAATATCATTCTGTTGCTGGGCACCATGGGGCAGGAGGGCTGGGGTCCGTTGGAGAACAGGAGGGGCTGCCTGAGGACTGCAGGGGGAAGACACAGTTGACCCCCCAGGAAGGCCCTGACCCTTTCTCTCCTGTGCTTGGTCTCCAAGTACAACCCCCTTAACCTCACAGAGCTGGACTGGTCCCTGCTGAGCAAGAAAGAGTGTCTGAACTATGGTGGGCGCCTACTCGGGAATTCCTGCCAGTTCATCCCAGATCTGGCACTCATGTCCTTCATCCTTTTCTTCGGGACATACTCCATGACCTTGACCCTGAAAAAGTTCAAATTCAGCCGTTATTTCCCTACGAAGGTAAGTTTATCCTGCAGTTAAGAGGGTACTTATAGTATACTAAGACCATTCACAAGATCCCCCTGAGAGGATTCTGACCCACTTACAGGATGGACACCATATCAGCACTCACTTACTAAGGTTTTTTAAATTAAGAGCACAGACTTGGAATCAAAGAGAACTGGCTTCCCTTGTTGTCAAGTACCCTTGATGACACTTGATATTGTCATACTTTTATCTTTAGTCTTTCTGTGTTTTTAAAGTTTTCATTTCCCTGATGACTAATGAAGTTGAAAATTTTATTAAGTGTTTATTGGTCATAATGCCATTTGACTTTTTTCTTGGAAGTGCCTATTTAAATCTCTCACACATTTTCTGCTGGGTTGTCTGACTTTTTCTTTCTGATTTGCAAGAAGAGTTCTTTATATATTCTGGATAGAAACCTTTTTGTGATCAAATGTGTTGCCAATATCTTTTCCAAGTCTGTGGGATTGACCTTTTTCTTTTCTTTTCTTTCTTTTTTTT